TTTTACACGAGCACCACCTGTTAGTCTACTCAGGCCATAGTGCGGCTTGATTTCGTCGTTGAATTTATCACAGTACCATAATCATGGCAACGATTCGATTTAGCGCCCTCCACCAAGCACTCATCACCTCGTCAACATACGGTAAGGACACTCTCCATAACACTTGACATGTCTCTTTTTCTGCATTGATTTTGGTGAATGAAACCTCTTCATATCATGTACAAGATGAACGTTTTTACAGTGGTGAAACACAAAATACTATCTTTTGTTATTATGAAGATCGCTTATTATAGTCACCACAAAAGTGTATAAAATAATGCCAGGTGATGGACATGATTCGAGTGTCAGTACATCATGGTAACACAAGTCACTTCTGTTTTTGTTATCTGTTCATGTAAGCTTCAGCCGAAGTCAGTCCTAACTTGTTTTAATTTTTTATTTTTTTTTTATTTTCAGGCTCTGCTTAGCTCGGCACTTGTGTCAGCTAATCCTGTGGAAACCCCACTGAAAAACGCTGAACAGTTCATGTTGATCAAAGACTATCGTACAGCTGCCATGCTATATACTGTGGCACTACGGCACCTCGAAGCTGATTCTTCCCCTGGATTGGTCGCCGCTATTCTATGCAAACGAGCTGAATGTTTACTTCACTTGGTTAGTACCTTTCTTCGATTAAAGAACTTAAAACATGTTTGAGTTGACACCAAGTTATTTTATTTTTTTGACCACGGCAATATACTTCACTTTCAGAGTTACGTACAGCACGTTTTGCGAGATTGCAGAGATGGTGAGTATAGAACTGAAGACAACTAAAGCTTTTACTTTAATATGAAACGTAAACAACGGGTTTTACCTACACCGCACAGCAGTCGCAGAACAGGGGCGGAAAGAGGAGAATAGGAGAGTAGGTTTCCTGACGATCTGTACATGTTCACTGAGGATACAGCAGTTGTGAGATGACATTCTTAGTCTTGTCTTAAAGAAGTGTAATATGGATTCCGGTTTCGGCAGACTTTTGTTGTTGTTGTAAGTTGCTATTGCAACAGTTGTAATTTACCGCAGCGTAGACATAAGTATTCATCACACTTGCTTGCATTCCTGTGGCATAAACCGATCGGTATCAGTGATTCAAGATAACTTTGATCATGAAAAAAAAATTGAGAAAACCAAACTGGTAGCAGGTTCGCTCCTTAGCTAGTTACAAAGGTGGAGTTGAATTTTGGACACTGAATGCACCGGGCCTTCCAAGCCATAATTTCGTCCCTCTAACCACTAGTTGTTGTTATCGTAAGAATAGGTATCTACGAACAATTCGTTCTGATGCTTGTAGCTAAGAGTAAAATTCGGCAGTACATCTAATGCTCCAGGACTTTTAGACATACAATTTCATCCTCCTCGATCGCTACGTACCAGTTATTGTTGTTGTAAGATATTTTCTAACAATTCCTTCTCTTGCTTTTAGCTAAGAGCAAACTGGGAGGTGACAACGAACACATAGCATTTCTATCTTCACAAGCTCAAGAGTTGCAGGGAGAAGTTCAGAAGGCTTTTATGCACGCCGTCATATACAAGTCTCTTGATCCTCGGGTATTTATCAAAAATGCAACATTTTATGTAAAATAACTAAGTTGCGTCATAAGCGTAAAACAAGACTTCGCATTGAGTAGGCTGAGGAAGTTCTTAGGGGATAAAAGGAAAGCGAGATGGTTACAATGTGGTGTGTTTGTTCATGACCTTATGTGTTCGTAAGTGCTTGCTCGAATCACAGGGAGCACACAATCGTGTTGAGTACGAAGAGAGTAAATAAAGGAATGAAAAGAATGAATAGTTTACCTTTGTCTCCTGTTGTCGTTTCTTACGCGACCTTACAGGGAAAGCTGCTACCATCAGGTCCTGTTACATGTCCTGCATACGTCCTGCATAACACTGTAACGCTAAACTTGTACCTAGGCTTTTTCGCGCTGTGCAAAAACTTATTTGGTTTACATATGTTATTACTGTCAATAATATATGTAAACCGAAATCTTTTTGCGCAGCGCGAAAAGGCCTAGGTACGAGTTTCGCGCTACAGTGTTACGCAGGACATATATAGAACATGTAGGTAGCGGGGTCGCGTAAGAAACGACAACAGGAGACAAAGTTAACCTATTCATTCCTTTCATTCCTTTATTTACTCTCTTCCTACTCAACAAGATTGTGTGCTCCCTGTGTTCGAATCTTATCCTACTTTTAGCATGTCCCCTTAACATTAGGACAAATCTTAGGGTGCGTTCCTTTGGGGTGATCTGAATCAGGGTCAGTGATCCAAGATCACTCGGATCATGGTGCATCAAAGGAACCGATGAATCCACTCTGGTCACGGATTCATCGGTTCCTTTGATGCACCATGATCCGAGCGATCTTGGATCGCTGATCCTGATCCAGATCACTCCAAAGGAACGCACCCTTAATGTTTAATTATCAGTTAAGTTTGTCCAAATCATAGGTGACCGCAACATACGCTATAAAGGCTATAAATGAAATGGCAAACGCTACAACTGTACATCTCCAAGTGATAGCGCACGTTTTAGGGGGAGAGGGGGGTAAGGCTATTCAATTTTACGGCTGTGTTACTTAGCAACCTTTTGCATTCACTGCAGCTTGCCAGTGCGCGCTGCTCGTTCACAATTTCTTCAATCCATCTTGCTTAATAGTACATGTTTTGTTTGATAGATATCAAGGGACAAGGACATTATGAGAAGGTTAAGAATGAAAGTAAAGTGGTTGTGTGGCCAGGTATCTATCTTAATTGTGCTGTCAGCCCATTATTTCATTGAAGCCCGCGTAAGATTATTTCATTACTTTGTAAAGTGTTCAAATAACTCTGAATTTAAGTAGTGTCCCAATTTTGGCAGTCCTCGGAATGTTCCTTTCATCCGATTCATTTCCAAGCAATTCTTAAGTCTATTTTCAAAAATCAAAGATACGCAAGATTTAAATTACTTAAAAACATTTCACTGTCAGACTCGATCAGCTCTGAGTAGTTAGATTGCGTTCTGAGGTGCTTTTCCCAAAATGCTGATTCACATTCTTCATTAATTTTCTCTTAATCTTGTAACCAAAATTATTTCTATGTATATTGTTACATCATACGTGTATTTGTTATTTCTCGTGTTTTCTCTATGTCTTGGGATGCCTTTGAAATTCCTTACTGTTTTTTTTTTTTCCAAGCCTAATTAGAATGTTAATCCAGCAGTGTCTCTTTTGACCTTATTTTTAGGGATATCATCAAGTTCAAAGCACTCTTGACGTTCTGATGACACAAGGCGAGCTTTCGCTCTCAGACTCTGAGACAAAGGTGGCCTTGGCCTTTTTCACAGAAGTTCTGAATCTTTTTCCAGAATTTCCGGATGCTCACGAATATCGAGCGCAATGCCTCTTCATTTTGGTAAGAATATAGCTATGTTGGCCAACTGTTATGAAGAGAAGTTTGTGAGCGGATACTTAATCCTTGATTTCGTTAATGTGGATCTCTGGTCGATGCTAGCGCTTCTGTTATCGTTTTCGAGCTCAAAGAGTTATTTTGCCGTCTTACTTCTCTTGTTGGTCACACCCCTATAGTCTGTTGATGTGACCGCGTTCCTTACAAGTGCGGGACATATTCGCGAATTAGCTCGCTCCTTATTGGAACACCTCGGGAATACTGTTGATAAGTGAATGGAAATATATTTGTTTTGCTCTTATGGTTCGTTTTATATTCCGCAGGGTGATTTTCTTCAAGCTGAGCAGGACTGCAATAGAGGTATATTATTTTTTGTGACAACACCATTCACTACATTCATTCCCCACCCAGATTGCGTAATCTGTTGTATTCTTTACAAACTTTGCTTTCGAATTATCAATCGCAGGCTAGTGTTGCAAATTCTACTGAAAAAGCCTTGGCCCCC